CGCTAGTTATTAGAGGCCCTCTTCATACGAATATCAGAAGAAGGGGGGATTGAAAGGTGGGGGGGGGGGGTCAAACCATGGAAAATAGCAATAGGGGCGGGGACAATAGAGCTTCATCTCTAGACATCGAAACATTCAAGGCTGCTAGCAGGGGAAAGGTGGTTTGTAGGTGTAGATTCACAAACCCTCCCTCTTAATTGAGCTACCTCGTGATGGCGACAGTCACTTGGGGGCAGGATTCGAGAAAGGAAACGCTCTAGATGTCTAGCGTTGAGATGCCACCCTGTCTGCCTGTATATCCATGTGTGTCTGCCTCAAGGTTAAGCCTGCACCTCGATTTAGGTGTTGGGAACAGTGTCTCGGTAGGGTGGTTGCTACGTCCCTAGGCAACTGGGGAAATACCCCTGGACGCGGCAATGCAATACAAAAAAGCCATCCCATGAGCATGGTTAGCATCATTTCCCCTTCAAGAGTCGCAAAGATTGACTACTGAGGGCAGCCCTTTGGGTTTGGCATCAACTTGGACGGTCTTTGCACCAGCATAGAATGTTTCCCCGTCTTGCTCTTTATATGAAGACCGAATCTGGACTCTGCGTAGATGCGATAAACTTGACGACAAAAGAGTGCCACGTAGGCTCTTCTCACTGAATGCGCTGCATTCTGCTCCTCTTTAGCGTTTGAGAAATCGCCAAAGAGCACCTCCAGCCTCGCTAGGCTCGGGGTTTAGAAGAGCTTATCAGGTCCGTAGCCTTCGGGGACATGTAGCCTGCTAAACGGATAGGATATAGCGAATAATTAGTACATCATGTACCGTCGGGCGCAAGCCTACCATCAGTGAACGTTAAGTCGGGGGGGTCACAGACCATTACTCGGCTTTCGCGATGCTGCTCTCTCTCTCTCATGTAGCCGAGATGCTTCGGTTTATCGGACCTAAGTCTTCTCATGTACGGTGTACACGTGGACAGAACAACCTCGGCGCAGAAGCGGGCCCGAGTTGTCACCCCTGGAGTCTCAAGAGTGTCAGTCTCAGCTTTGTGCTGTGACTCGTGAGCATAACTTTAGAAACCCGCTCGATCTTGCCTCAAGCCAACGGGAGTAGTGAACATGTGTAGTAGTGCTTCTCGGTGGAATACTACTTGACTGTGTGGTGGAACACTATAGCATGTTAGAAGTGAATTGTTTCGCTCTCGGGCTCAAGGTTTTCGCGCGGCACTGGCCCTAGTTGTTGAACAAGCGCTGGAGTAAGCGATGGAAAAGGCCTTTGGGGTGCGTGACAGCTAGCTTCAGTAAAAACACCATCAATGGCCCGTCAAAGCAGTCCGTCTTACGGTGCTCTCATCACCACTCCGGCGCCTCACAAGAGCTATCTGTGGCTGACACCTGCGACACGTAATCAGGAGAGTCGGTGGCTGAAGAATAATCATCACTCTAGACTTCAACTTTGTACTTCAGAGATGAACACCTGGAGTAATCCATAGCCCCTGAGTCACGAGCTCCCCGAGACCGTCTCTTCGATCGTCGGCTCGCGCTCGGTCACTGAGCCTCGTAGCCCGGCTCCTGATCGAGGTCAAAGGACCAGATCGCCATGTTCACCATCATCTCGCTTCCATACCTTCTGGAAGCCTCGGGGGGAAGACAGGCGTAATGAGAAGGAGGCCAGGGTGCTCAACAACGAGCCTGCTTCAACCAAATTGCCGGTACGTTTCGCGGGCCCCCTAGCCTACCATGTACGGAGTAGAGGCGCATGCCTGGTCAGACGGTAGCCGGCAGTCCAGCCGAGATGACCACGCAGCAGTCGTAATAAGGCCCAGGGCCTAACTTGAGCTAGGTGAGAGTTTTGATGGACCGGCATCCAGGGGTGCAAGTCCCCCGGAGACGCAGGAACGCATAGGGACTGGCGCAGTGCCCGTCAGTGTGGAGATGTACGCTTGGTCGCACTGTGAAGAGAGATCGACGAACCATGCCGATGTGGGTGCCGAGCGTGCGAAGAGCTCACGTGCGAACACGAGCATGCTGGGGCGGACAAGGAGGCTGGATTAAAAGAATCTTTCCAGAGCGCCCCACGATGCCAGGGGGTGGAAGGTTGTTGGGATGCTGAGGTTGCGAACTAGGAGCGACCGTTTCGTGCCTACTCTTAGAATAAGAATACAGCGGCATTGCTGCTCTCGTTGCCCGTGTTACATTTACTGCTGGTCACAGAGCAACACTGACGAAGCATGCCTTGTTGTTGAGCAGACTGCTGGCCGGCAGGCTGGCAAATCAGAGAGAGAAACACGAAAACAGGAATTTGGTTTAGTTCCGGGAGCCAGGTTCGACATCCCGATGGATGTAAGTTCCAACCCAAACATGACAGGGCATGTCGACGGGGAAGCAATCCGGTTGATCCGCGCAAACAAATCCCAGAAGGATGAGAATTGGTTGGGAACGGTTGAAACAGCCAAGGGGAGAAGAGGAGGGTCGGTCACCGAAGAGGCGAGCGGGTGAAAGCTCAAAGGACCGAAACTGTGAAGGCGTTGATCAGTCGGCCGCTGCAATTAGAGGGAGAAGCGAATAAAGTTATCAGATCGAACCCATGCCATGTCGCTGGGTATTGGCGTTAGTGGAGTAGGTCGAGGGTTACACTAGCGACCGGAGCTCAAGCCGGAGCCTCAGGAGAACGCTCGCGACAAGCTCGAAATGAAGATGAGACATCACTAGACGCGCAGAGAGATGCGAGCGGGCCCTGCTTCGCGACATCGCGTAGGTCTTTGATTTGAGATTTCAAATGTGCTTGCTCGTTTGCGTTGGGAGGATTTGCTAGCGTGCTGTCGACCGGGGGCTTGACAGTAGCCGGTCTCGGAGATTGGTACAATCAGATTAGATGCGATTGATTAGGTTGATGAGATTGATAATGTGCGATAAGATTGGGGTTTGTCTTGGGTTGGTCCGGTGGAAAAAGCCAAACAGCCCCAGCTGAATTGGCTGGACGTTATGATTGGATAAAAGGTCACGGACAGCGATCGGATGGTTCAGTGCGTGTGGCATTCCGTCAGGAAAAGCAAGGTGCGGAAGTGGTTGGTCCATTGGGCAACACAAGATGAAGTATCCCTCATTTCGTTTGGTCGCCCGGCTCAACGCGGCCGATCTTCTTTGCTTGTGACGTTTGTGTTGTGCAACCACCTCGGAGATGGGTGGTCGAAGCGTGAAAAGCAAGCCCAGAGGAGGTTTTGTCGCGGTATCTTATGCAGCAGACGGCATTGCGAACCCAAATGTAAAGTCTAAGAGCATCTTGCGATGGATTCAGAGCATCAGAAGACCAGAACTTTGATACGCTCACGTGAGCGGTCTTGTTGGGAGCCGACCGTCGTTGCCCGAGTCTAGAGATGGGGAGACGGCCGGAATTCCTCGGTTCGGCAACGGCAGCCGGAGCGCGTGTTTGCGGAATCCGGCGAATTTTGCCCAATCCTACCTAGGAGAGGAGCGGGTGACCAGCGTTGCATTCCGCGGGACACCTTTCGTCAGTAATGCAGCATGGAGGTCTGCACGGGGAGCCGGTGCTGGTGTTTTCTGGGATTTGACAGTTGGTGCGCAACAATCAGATGGCGACGGCCAGCATAGGGGGAGACTCTATTGTGTATCCGTACGGAGTAGGGTATGCCATGTGGAATCGGTATACAGTGTGCGATTTTTGAAAAAACTTAGAAGGGAGCCGGCGGAGAGGAGTGGCAACCCAACGGCTCATGGCTCGGCATTGTGGGCTGACTCGACAGGGCCTTTGACCGAGTTTTGCTCGTGCTTGGCGCGTTTCCCTTTGGGTTTTCGGTGAGCGGTGAATTGTATTGCAAGTCGTTTATTTTGGGCCTGACCATGGTGCTGTTTTCATCGAATGACCATGGTGCGCAGAGAAATTGCTTCGGTAAAATGTTGGGTCCAATTCGTGACGGGAGGCTGAGCTCACCCGAGAATGTCTGGGGCCCTGGGGGTGAACACTGTTGTGGAGGGACGAACCCTACCGCTTAGCAGAAGGCATGCCCGAGCAATAAGGCCTCTGACGACTCCGGAGTGGCTGATTCCCAACGTGTTGGAACACACTGTTTAGGAGTGCGTGGTGTGGTACGTAGGGCCTGGTGGGCAAGTCTGGGGTCGTGACAGGACCCGAGTTGCAGAGATAGGGCTTCCGACGTTGCAATAGCGTAATAGGGGCTTCTAGGTCTGCACACTGTAGACGGAGCTCCTTTGACAGGACGGCGGAGCTGAAGATCAAGACCGGGAGAAGTTGGTGGTGCTGCTGCAGTTGGTGCCGTGGACCGTGTTGAAGTGGTGCCGCGGGAGGTGCAGGAGACTGCCGTGTCGTCCATCTCCGAAGGTGGAGGGATAGTATCGGGACTCTGTACGGCTATCTCAGAGAGAAAGTAAAAGTGAGGGGTGCGGCCACCTCATCGTGCGTAGCCGGTGCTGCACGATGGTAGCGGGATAGCATCACAGGAGAGCGCAATCGTGAGGGGGTATGGTGAAATGAGGGCTCTTTCTGTGGCCAGCGAGTCCGGAGCCAGTTGGGCCCAGCATGGCGGACCAGCAAGATGGATCTTGGAGTGCGCAAGCGGGCGAGAAACCCCACACTCTTGTTCTGTGGCGGCGATATGCGATGCATCAATGTGCGATATCGTTGGATGGGCAAATACGGGGAACGGTGAATCGCCAGGTTTTCCAGTTGTGCGGGACGAGAGTCCACCGTGATGCAGCAGAAATGGGCGGCGAACCTGGCACTGTGAGGATTGAAGCGCAAGCGAGCATTCTATTGCGTACAATATGATAGTGTATTCTACTGTGGCACATGTATGATGTGGTAAGAAAGCCCGACAAGAGTGGGTGAGCGGATCAGCTTACCTCATTTTACCTTTGGTTTCCGGCAACCGGCTCGGTTCCCATCACCTCGGCCAAGAGCACGACGGGAGGTGACAAGAGACAGAAAGAGCCAGGCGGAAGAAGACAGAGAAAAGCCGGGCAAGAAAAGCCGGGAAAAGAGGATGAATCGGGTAGGGGCGGGTGGAGTGGGGTGAACCGTGTAGAGTGGTGTGTGGAAGGAACTTGGGAAGGCAGGAAGGAGCGAGTGACTAAATTCGTACCTTCCACGTTCGCGGATCGGAATGTGGAAGGAGAAAAGATAGGAGATGCAATGCCTTCCGCTGCACCTCGGGCTGTGACAATCAATTACCTTGCCTACAGCCTACGGATACAGGGCCTGGCATTGACGTTGATGTCGACGCGTCCCGAGGTTGAATCGCTGCAGGAGAGGCTGAGCCCGGGATTGTAGATTTGGAAAAGAAAGCATCGAGGAAATTGAATGAATGGGATGGTGACAATGCAGATGCCAGAAGGTACCTACCTACCTCAATACTCCGTACACATGGAAGTCTCCTCGTCATCGGGCGGGCGGCGACATCGGCCAAGAGCAAA